AGAATAATTTAATCCCAACAAAAACATCTTTGATGTTTTAATATAATGGGTTTTGACCCAATAAGGAAAAAAGAATTTTTCCTAATAAGGGAAACTTTTTTAAAAAAAAATTTTATTATCGAAGTAATTTGGTGTTAAAGTTTTAGATCATTTTATTTTCATGTTATTAATACTTTGAAACAAATTAAGAAACCGCTGACAAGTTATATATTTTTTTATAACTTTGGTGCGCTCATTTCATGAATACTTTGCTTCCTCATAGAGATAATAGTAATAGGAAAATATATGAATAACTTTTAATAAATATGGTAAAAGTAATTGAATCTTGGGTCAGTCAATGTATTTTTAAATACTCTACAATATAGTTTTAATAGTTTAATAGTTAAACAACAATTTTCAAACAAAAAGTTGAGAAAATGTCATTTTCCACAATTTTTGGTTTTTAAAATACCAATAATGTCGAAATTTATTATCGAATTAGGTTCAAAAATAGGTCAATCGAATCGTTTTATAATGCTCTACCAACTGGTAACGACAATTTTAAGATTACTTTTACATTTTTTAACAAAATTTTCAAAAAAATATTTTTTTCTAAAATTTATGATTCTTAAAAGTTTAATATCTCCGGTTAATATGGACGAAAAATTTTCAATTAGGACTTAAAAGATGCGTTTAAAAAAACTCTACAAAAGTATGGAAAAAAATTTATAGGTGTCCTAACAGTTTTTTAAAGTTTTGGGCAAAAAACGTTTTTTTTGGAAAATTAAAAATCCAAAAAAAAAAAATTAGTTAAACTTTATTAATCTTTCACAAAGTACTCTCACTTTATGTCCGCAACTCCTGAGGTCAAATAACATAAAGATATATCAAAAAATCGAACTCGAAAAATTTCGGTATTACAATACTTCCTCTATGAGAAAGTAATAATTAAGTAATTTTTTTTAAATTAAAGCTTCAAGTCTATACTTTAATGATAAAATAAAGTTATTGTTAAAAAATTAAATTTTAAAATTGTTATTAACAATTCTTTAAAACAATTGCAAATTCAAGAATGTTCTCAATATTTTAGGAAAATTAAATTACCCTGTATTGATGTGAAAAACTCTAAGTATAAATTTTATAAAAATTTCGCCTGTATTTTGGCAGAAAAATCTACACAATTTCTATAATATAGAAGGTTACTGATTTTTCTTCTTTTAAATTAATCCTTGGAGTCTGTACATAGTTTTTCAAGTCATTTGATCAATATTTTATTTAGACATTTTTAAAAAATGATAATTTTCAATGTGTTACAAAAATTTTAATGACTTCTAAAATACTGAATGCTTTTTAATGATTTTAGGCTTATTTTAAAGGTGATTTTCTCCAGAATGAGAATTTTTTATAGGCATTAACGTGTAATTTTTTATAGAAAATTCAATTCGTCAATCTTAGATTAAAAAAATTAAAAAATTTTATACAATCTTATTAACAGAAAAATAATTTTTAAAATATAAACATATGTTTTTATTAAATTCAGATTTAATTTAAGGTTATATTAAGGTTTTATTTTGTGTGGTAAAAAATCAGGAGTGGGCGCGCGACGCGCGCCCTTTTGGTTCTAGTAGTTTTAAATAGAGGTCGATTCCAAATCGAAGTTCGATTCGAACTTGTCAATTCGAAATTCGAGGTTTCGAATTGCGAGTTGCACAACTCGACTCGGTTTATTTTCGATTCGAATCGGCCAATTCGAAACTTTGAATTTCGCGAATGTCGAATTGCACCACTCGACTCGATTTGCTTTCGATTCGAATCGGCCAATTCGAATCTTTAAATTTCAAATCGTACGACTCGGCTCGGTTTTCAAATTAAGTCGGTCAATTAGAAAATCGAAGTTAAACTTTAGAATTGCTTTGTAATGCGTGCTACGTTGTGTGTGCAGTATATTGTGCAATTCAAATTTCGAAGCTTCGAATTTCGAATTGACCGATTCGAATCAAAAGTAAACCGAGTTGAGTTGTGCATATCTCAATTAGAAATTTCGAATTGGCTGATTTGAGTTCAATTATCTCCGATTGGAATTTTCTGTTGTTTAGTCTCTAGTTTTAATCTAAAAAAATTTATTTAATTTTACAATAATAAGAATTACACAAGTCGACATGAAATTTGCAGCTTGACATTTAAGATATTTTTATGATAGATTTATCGACAGATATGATAAAAAAAATTATATTTTATCAAAAAGTTTGCTTTTGTATAAAGGAGAACGTTTTTACCATATTTTTGAAAATTTATGATTTTCTGAATTAAATGTTCAATCAAAAATCTGTAAAGTACGTAATAAAACGTACTCCACAGATTTTTGATTGACCATTTCATAAGTATTGCATAAGTATGGATGTGCAAAATAAATATATTTTTTAAATTTTATTAAAAAATGGTGGCTGTGCAGCATTTCATTAGAAAGCGTCTCGTTTCAGGATTCCATGTCCAGACAACTATCGTCTTTAATTTTTGATCTGGAAAAAAACGAAAATGTTGTCATTTTCTATACATCAACAGCTATCGACACACTAAGGTTTTTTTATATTACTTACTTTTATTTTTATCAACAATTTTTAGAATTATTTTTTTTTTTGAAAATTGTCATTTCAATCACGCAACATTTTGCAAAAAATAAAAATATCGAAAAAATCCTATGTGTGTCAATAGCTGTTGATGTATACAAAATGACAACATTTTGGTTTTTTTTAATTAAAAAGCGAGGACGTTAGTAAGTTGTTCGGCCATGGAACCCTAAAAAACATACGTCTTCCAATAAAATGCTGCAACACAGCCATTTTATAATGAAATTATTTTGAAAATATATAGTTTGCATATCAATACTCATGGAATAAAACGTACTTTACAGATTTTTAATTGGCCATTTCATTGAGCCAAAAAAATCCCTGAAATATGCCTAATTTTCGTGATTTTCCCCCTTAAGGTCATGTTATTCAGTGGTCACATGTCCCATATACTTTACTATAGGAACACGTGACCACTGAATAACATGACCTTAACATGTCTGCAACTACTACAAAAGCAAATTTTAAAAAGAATGTGTATATTTTTCCTTTATTTTAGTGAATAATAAATAGAAAAATCATTATATAACCCCAGGCGCAAAAATCTTTCGTTTTTTTGTTGAGCTATGTTATATAAACAAAATTTTTTTTCATTATAATTTGTACCAGAGTCACTGTTGATCAGTATATTATTTATAAGAAAATGCTAAATAGTATTTTCAGTATGGGGATATAAATATGTTTTGGGATAAAGTAAGTCTACTCTTGTAAATTTTTTAAAACAACGAATCATAACTATTACTTTCATTCTTTAAAATTAAAGTTTTAATATTTAACGCAAGTTTTCTCTATACTAAAATAATTTAAAATTGTTTTCCAATGTTTAATTACTGTTAAAAGAGAATAAATGTTTTTTATTTTTTTTTGTATACATATTTAAAAGCCAAAGGATTTTTAAAATAACTCTCAACAAAAGCATTTTAAACTTGAATTTTGATCTTTTCCAATTCTATATTGTTTAATTCCAAATCAATACTTGTATACTATATAACCTTTTCCTTGGCTTTTAATTATTTTTGAATTATTTTAACGATTTTATTTGACATTTTTAATTATTTTACAATTTTAATTATACCAAATCCAAGAATACTTTGACAATGGGTCAGGAAAGAAGGTTATCTACACTTTGAATTTAACGATTTAATTAAATTTTAGGAAAGAAAAGATTTATTTAAGCGCCAGGATATTTTGCACTAAAATATCCAAAAGATTTATTAATTTAATTTTAATTTTGCCAGCTAGTTCAGAAAAATTATTAGGAGATTATAAATCAATTTCCTAATAAAACCGCGGAGAGGGGGGAGTAAGGAGACAACACAATAATTACGCAGTCACAGAATTTAATTGTTGTTAAACAAAATCATTTTTATTCAATTAATTTTACTCTAAGTTTAAGTTTTAATTTTAACAATTATATTCGGCAGAAGGCCGAATTTTCAATTTAATCTACCGCTTGACAAGGCGGTGACAAGCATCACTTTTCACAATTTCGAAAATTTTTATTTTTAATATTGCCAATCTGGCGAGAAAATGGCAAGTTGAATTTACTGGGACTCACCGTCGATGCGACGTCGACCCCTCATGGCTCCTCGTCCAGACATTGCACTTAAATTTATAATTTTTTATTTAATTTTTAATTTAATTGGCGTGATGCGCCTGATCAAACTACCAAAACGAGAATGACGAAAAATGGCCGTGTGTCTGGCTACGAGAGCGTCGCTACACATACGCTTCTTTATAGTTTTTGGTGAGTCCCCGGCGTACTATTATTTTATTTTACAATTTATTATTATCTGCCCGAGATAAGATATCCGCCGCCGGTATTGCAGAGCGCCCACTTATTGGTCGCTGTCGTTCGCTTCGTTGGCCTTTAAATCTAGATGGCCGCAGTCAGTGTTTTGACAGGCCCAAAACAATTGATCTTCGTCTTCCTGGTGGTCTTGAATATTCGGGAATCACTTCCAAATATATACACCAGGAAGCACTTCCCTTGTTGATTACGACCAATTAATAATCCGCGATGGACCGGCGAATTATCGGTGAAAAATATTCTCGGGAACATGAAAAAAAACAAAATACGAACGGCAGAAAATGTTCCAACTTCAAGTTTATTTATTATTTTTGATCTGACGAGTTGGCAAGTTTATTTTACACAAAAATCAATTATTTAAATAATTGATTTTTCAAGGTATAATTTTTTTGTTTATTTTTAATTTTTTAATTCAAAATTTTAATACTATTTTTTTTTGTTTTTAGGAAGGAAATAAGAAGATTCTCGTTTTGATAGAATTCCTATCAAAACATTTATTTTGCGAAATTTAAAAACTTAATATTGTACGAGGCAAAATGCCGCGTCACAACTATTATTAATATTTTTTATTCTTCTTTTTTCAGAAAAACTAAAAGACTTTCAAAGTGGCTTGAGGTATGATTATAAATCATTGTCTGAAGGCAAACGAATAACAAGGCCGGAAAAAAAGATTACGTTGATGAGAGACGAATTCGTTATTCGTCAGTGGAACGATTTGGATGAACAACATCCGCCCACTGGATTAGAATTTGTTAATCGCATTGTAGAGTTTAATGCAAATCCAATCGACGAATATATAAATCTATTTGCACTTTAATCTCTTTTCAAATTCTAGACGTCGAATTACGCTCTTTTTGTTTAATTATGTATTGAATTTGCAGTTAAACTGTGTCATGTTATTAAACAAAACAAAATAAGTTTGAAAGGCTAAGTTTACGCGTGTAACTCCTTAACATTTACTCTTTACATACAAAAAATCATTATAATAATCATCTTCCAATCATTTCACTTATTGTATAAAAAAGAAAATGTACTTTTGTTAAATTGTTAAATAAAATTTAATAACAAAATTTGCATTCCTAATTTGTTCAAATTATGCTCATGTTTGAACATTAATAACAAAAAAATCTATAAGTAAAAAGTATTTTAGACTTTTCTACGTGAAAGAGAAACTCTAAACCTATATAGAGTACTATTAAAACTCGCAATTAATTTTTTTGGAAGCTAAGGCACCCAAAAAAACTTTTTGTCGTGGACCGTCATATATAAAAAAAATCGTGATGATCTATTTTTTCTTACATTTGACCTATCATTTTTTCGATTAAGTAATCATTTGATAATTTAAAGGTACTGCCACAGCTCTTTATCGACAGCTGCCTGCGCAGGCAGCTGTCAACAAGATCTGTGGCTGTACCTTAAGTTCCATGGCTGTTGGACTTGTTGACTCGAAATAAGTATGGAATTCCCCTGTACTATCCGCAGTGGTGGATCCAGGGGGGTGTCATAGGGGTCAAGACCCCCCCTGGGACGAAAAATTTACATAAAAAAGGTCAGCTAATAGACCTTTTCATCTCGAATAATTTTTTCTCAATAATAATAATAACTTCCGGTCGGTCATATTCAAATTTCCCATGTTAATACATGGTGAATTTTTGAATATAACCGACTATCATGGCGGACTAAGATTGCGCATTCTTCATTTCCTATTCGAGATGAAAAGGTCTATGGAGCGTTTACACCTTCTGTGAAAATTGTCCAGAAAGGAAAATTTGCATTAGAGTAAGAGAGTCAGATACAAAGTCTGTCTCTCTTACTCCAATGAAAAATTTTCCGTTCGGGAAAGACCGAAGGTGTAAATGCTCCCTAATTATGGTCGTCGCTCGCCTCATCTATAGATGATCCCCCCTGGAGTAAATTCTGAATCCGCCACTGCAACTATGCATATGTATTGGCATGCTTGCAGAGCTGTGAGAGCGCCTTAACTCATTCTCATATTCTCAAAGTACCACAATTGGTGTGTGCATTACCCAGCTTAAATAGACCAAATCGCAGAAGAAGAACGAAGAATATAGACTCAACGGCGGAAGGAAGAAATACTTGTATTTTCAATTAGGGAAGAAATGCAGGCTGAAAAGTAAGTATTGTATACAAAAAAATGTTAAAATAAATTTTTATCACATTTTTTGTCCTGAAAATAGTTTTCTGATATTAGAAATAATTAATATAAAAATGGCGGAGTTCGATTTTCACCTCCTTTTACCGTCATGAAAAAAAATTTGCTGATAATGAACAAGGAAGAATTCTATTGTTTTATTATCATTTTTAATGAAATCATAATTGTTCTAATAGTTAGGGGAGAGTGGGGCAAACCAATTATGTGTCAATATCTCTGAAATGGCGAAATTGGCAAAAGTGCTATTTAGAAATTTGAAACAATCACGTGTTTTTATCGAAAAATGAAATCGGTTGATTCGTTTAGTCACAAGAGTAAATAAAACCGTTAGTATGGCCGGTTTGGCTTACTCTCCCCTATACAAAATTTTTTAGCATTTTCCTATTTTTCTAATTGTTTTTTTGCTAACCATACATATATCTAAATTTTTTTACATGTTTCACACATGTACTCATAGTTGTAGACACAGCCTATATATAATTGACATAATAGTAGAAGTTTTTTTATCAAATATAAATTTTACACAAAAAAAACTTGCCTGTTCCGATTAAGGTTTAAATTTTTTCTTAATAGGTTTTGTAATTTTTTTTCCTTCATTTATAAAAAAATTTCTTGAAAGCATATATTTTTGGTCCTGAATTGAAGGTGCCGATGAAAGAAGCGTTCCTAAAATTTTTAGTTTAAAAATAATTTTCAAATAAAAATTTGAGAAAGTTGTAATTAGGGGAGAGTCTCCAGTTGTGAGACACCTCCAGTTGTGAGACAGTAAATTTTTTTTAACATGCAATATTAAAATGCCGATTGGTTTATATAAAAACATTTCTTTTTATATGAGCCAACTTTTTCGTGTACGCCGAAGCGGATATATAAACTGTTTTTGTTAAATACCAACACTGTGTGTGATAATCGACTAAAAAGCGTTTTTTCAATAAATGCAAAGTACTTTTTTTCCAAGTTAATTAATTGAAAAAGGTAAATGTAATGCATTTTCTTTTAGTGTTTTCCTTATATTTTGTGATGCAATATTGCATTGTTCCAATCTACGGTTGAAAATAATTTAATTTTCCTTTTTCAAAATAGCGCCAATTTCTGGGTGTGAGACACAGCATATCACCAGTTGTGAGACGGTGTCAACACCCATCTGGGCAGCATAAAAAATACGACTTTGCAGGCATACTATTTAAATGTTGTTTTGTTTTTTTTCTAGTATTTTTGGGTATGTCAAGTGAAAAAAGTCAATTGATTCAGAAGAAATCAATTTTAATGCTCTTGTTGAAGCTATTAAATTGTGTTTATTTGATAGTCATATTTTGGCGAATAAATATTATTATTTAGTATATAATAATATATATTATTAATACATTTAATTATTTCTACAAAACATAACGTTTTATGTCAAACTTATTAAATTTTAGCAATTTTTAATGAGTGTCTCACAACTGGAGACATTTTTTTTTTTTGAAAAAAGCGCTGTGCTCGGAAAATGTATCGTAAAATTTTTTGACTTCATCGAAACACTATACTTTCTTTTAATAAAAGTTGCGTATTTCTGTTACCTTTCGAACAGTGTATTTTATTTACAATTTCGTTAACCCGTTTACAATTTACGGGTCAAAAATAAAACCCGTCTTACAACTGGAGACTCTCCCCTATAAAATTGGAGGAATTTTTTTCTAATTTTTATACAAATACGAAATGTTTACAAAAAATTGTAATCTAAAATTCTTTTTTTATTTAGGAGAGAAGAATTTTGAGGGTTTAAAAATACAGCAGATTCTTTGATTGGAACCCTCAATTTCTTTTTTGAAATGTCTTTTTTAAAACTTTTTCTTATATACAACATTACGATTTTTGATAATAATTACACTCGATTCTTGTTATAACGACAATCTCGATGACGGAAGGAGAGAATCAAAACGTCAAATACGTGCAAAATTTTTCATAAATTTTTTTTTTCTATTTATATTAAAAGTTTCTCAATTATGGAATCAGTTTAAAGAAAAAGTAAGTATTTTTAATAATAATAAGATCACTAGATTCTTTAGGTTTAATAAAGTTAAGGGTTTATTACCTTTGTCGTTTTTTGAGTTAACCAAAATTTTGGTTAAATTAAATTCTTAAATTCGTTCGTGTTTGTTTGTCGTTGTATTGAGAATTTTAATGTTCGTTATAACGAGAGAACGTTGTAACGAGATTCGTTATAACAAAAATCGAGTGTATGTATTTATAATAGTCAAAATTGTATTTTCTGAAATATATATATATATGTCGTAGGCAAATAGAAAAATCTGGCATTTAGCTTAATGCCTAGGCATTGGGCTAAATGACGGCAAGTAGATAAATGAATCGTGAAAAATGGTTATTTTTCTAATTGCCTGAAATCAATTAGTCATTTAGCTTATTGACTAGGCGTTAAGGAAATTGTCTAAGTAGCACCCGGCAAATAGAAAAATGAGAATATGTGCATGTATCACTCAACAGAAATATTTAAAAAAATCTGTCAAAATTAATTAACACAAATATTTTATTATCAATAATAATTAAATTTTTTATTTATTTATTGCGGCATGTAGAGGACTGATGACACCGCGAGTTACATAGTATTTTAGCCTTGTAACAAGAGCATTTGTTTGTTTGACATTGATTAAAAGCTGCCTTACAGTTACATGTTTTGTAACCCTGTCCACCAGTCATAGATTGCTGAGACACAGCTTCCCTTAAAGTTAATGTAAATCTTTACAATATACGTCGTCAACTTTTATAATTTCGGTTCCCGATTGCACAATGTCAGTTCGAGGAAACCAACATTATATAATTCCACCCTTAGTTCCTATCTGATAAACACCATTTTGAACATCTAAAAAGACACCAAAAATAGTCGCGAAATCAAATGGTCCACGATCTACAGCCGGAACCGAAAGAGTTATGCAAGACCCAATTTGTGTTAATTAATTTTGACATATTTTTTTTTAACATTTCTGTTGAGTGACACATGCACATATTCTCATTTTTCTATTTGCCGGGTGCTACTTAGGCAATTTCATTAACGCCTAGTCAATAAGCTAAATGACTAATTGATTTGAGGCAAATAGAAAATAACCATTTTCCACGATTCATTTATCTACTTGCCGGCATATAGCCCAATGCCTAGGCATTAAGCTAAATGCCGGATTTTTCTATTTGCCTACGACATATATATATCAATATCTTACTAATGGTTTCATATTTTTCTGTTACTGCGAATGAAAATTAAGCTCCTTATCAGTTCGATGGATATTATTATGTAAAATCTTCAAAAAATAAGTTTGGAGTAATGTGTTACGGGTCTTTTTAAATAAATTATTAAACAATCAATTTATTTATAAACTTTCACAATAATATTATTTATTCAAACTTATAAGTTTTACAATCGGAAGAAATAGTTTTCGTTGTGTTACATAAAAGGTCTGCCGCAGCCTAGACGCAGTTACATACTGCTGGAAAAATGCATAGACAAACGTCAGGGACCTTAAGGGTCTCAAGTTAGGGAGAATTATCTATGGAAAGAAAACCGGTTTATTCTATTTTAAGAAAAGTCTCTATTCTGACAACGCCCAGCGTTACAAATGTGAGTGAAATTTTATTTGATATTATTTGATATTATTTTATTTATATATTATTCTTTTATAGTAATTTAAATTAATTTTTGAAAATAGTTTAATATTATTGTCTTAAAGTATAATTATAACTTCACCAAAAGAGATTTAAGGAAATAATTTCTTTTATAATTATTATTGTTAAAATAAAAGTGGACGGAAACTGGGAGATCCACAGTATAGTAAGTTTTACTGACACTAGTACGTAAAAAAAGAATCCAGCTACTAATTATTATGAAGATCTAAATCTAAAAGTAAAGCAGGAATATAATTTTAATACTTAGAACGACATTGATTTGAT